CCCCAAAACCCCAAAACCCCAAAACCCCAACTTTTTTCAAGAAATTGAACATTAAATTATCCCGAAGCGGGGCAAGCCGAATTTAGGAAGAGTTCGGATATAGCTTTGGGTGCCAAAGAGATAGGTTGGTTTAGAAGATGGTTAGTGAAGTTTACATAGGCGGAAAACAAACCAGAACTCAGCTTCCTGAAGGGTAAGTGGTTGGAAATTACTCACTAGGATCCTCCTTTCATGGAATCTGGGCTCGTTTGTGATAATTTTATGGGTATATGGACCAGAATTAGATTTTGATTAGTTGTATGAGGAGACTTTGAGTAAGTTCTGGAAAGAGAATTTGTCATAAAGAAATTTATTATTAAGAAAAGAAAGGTTGTTATCAACTCTCTGATTGAATACAAAAGAATAAGGCTCATCAAGTTGCAGAAGATGTGCAGATAAATTGATGTTTGCCTTCATGTTAGGCAGAAGAAATGAAGCTCACAGCATTTGAATACTTCATTTTCTTATTGGCAAATTCTTCATTAATAGGTTGATTTGAGGAAAATTCAAATCTCAAGAAAATATGATACTATTACAGTAAGCTTAATTATTTTTCATTGATATTATTCAAAGACTTATATGAGAAATCATTAACTCTTTTTAGGAAATTCAGGAGATCTCCAAACTATTATTAAGAAACATAAAGTTTGGGGCAATGTAAACCTATATCAGAAGCTATGAACCCTTCTCAATTTCTTAACTGTATGGTTCTTGTTTATGTTTGAAAATTTAAGATGTATCTTTTGCACAATACTGGCAAGACCAAGGTAACATATGTATTGAGAATATTTAGAAAAAGCAATCAAAAATAATAGAGTCATTAATGACAATGGTGAGTTCATCTAGCGATATGCTTACCTTACCTTTGTTTCCTTCAAAATCAAAAGAATGTAATGAAACATGAAAGAAGAATACACAAGTTAACACCTTTATAGGTGACCTCGAAGACACACTGGAGATCTTCTGGTAGATTTCAATCTGTTTACAAATATTATTCCAAAATTTTAACAAAGTTAGTTAAACTCTAATGAGAACCTCTTCTAATACTTCCGAATTCGTGAGTGAAGAGTCAAACGCCCAAACGTTTGAGAAATTGACTTTACCCAGTTTGCCGATTTAAATGCAGGTTTTAGTTTTATATTCTTTCAATTTTGTAGGAAATATCTGGGGTTTTGGGGTTTTGGGGTTTTGGGG